CACAATCGAAAAAAAATTTTACGAGCTAAATATTACTGTTCGGTAGTTAGGACTGTAAATTCAAAAATTTCGTTCGAACCTGTTCAGTAGTTTGGGAGAAATTCCTTGATTACTGTGAATTTCAGCCCGTATTGCCAAAACTATGACAAAAACAAACGATGGCAAAAGCTGAAAAATTTTCACGAGCATAACATTATCGTTAGGTCCTAATGAATACGTGTACCAAGTTTCACCGAGTTAAGTTCATTAGTTTGAGAGATATTCCTTGATCATTGAATTTGGAAATTGGCCGTGAGTTCGGCCGTTAATTTGTCCGAGACGTAAACACAGGAGGGGTTAAAAAAACATCTGGGTGAAAAAACCATCGCTGGGAGTCATGTGCTGCACGTGTTGTTTACAAATCGTCAAACAAACGTTTGAACTTCTGACATAGACTTCGGACTACCTCCCCCACTACCGCCCTCTTCTTCCTTACTCGCCCCTCAAGATCTTTCCACCGCCCCTAGGGGGGCGATATCGCCCACTTTGGGAACCACTGGCGTAAATGGACTGTACAAATTAAGTCAATAAGGCATAATTACAGAGCGTAATTAGTCTGTGTGATACAAAATATAAATATATATATGAATGGTGAGTCAATGGTCTGTCGTTTATTTTTGCCTCATTTGAGCAATTATGGTTTCCAAATCTTGGTGCATTATGTTATATCATGTATGCTTTGAATGTGCAAAAAATTATAACTATAATATGAAAGTTGTTACGCAGGTTATCATAGCACGAATCGCAATAGAGTATCAAGATTGCAGTTCTTCCAGCACCATTCATTGAATTATCCCGCCTTTTTAGCGCATTTTCTCATTTATGGAAAAAATGCACTATTGTGCTCGCCATGTCCGTCTGTCTGTCCGTCCGTCCGTGACCTCAAATTTTCGTCGACGAGAAAATGCGCTCTCTGTCACTCACTGCAGTGAGTACTGAGTAATATTTTTTCTAAAATTCGACAATCTCTCTCTTCCAGCAAAGTTTGCGAAATTCATTAGCTGCATAAAATACTCTCTGCTGTGGTGTTCGAGTTCCGGTTGACATGACATCCGTTTGCATGTTTGACGCTAATTTTGTAAAGGTTGCTTCATATAAATTAATCATTGCCATTCCCATGTTTCACCCTCAATGTAATGTAGCTAACGATATTGAATGGCATTATTCATACAAATCTGTATCTATTAAACTTTTACATTTTAAGATCTGATGGAAGTGGTGAGCGTCCCTAACAATACGAGGATGTATATAAAAACATTAATGATCTAGAAGCGGGCTTCAAAAAAAAAATTTCAACGTGTCTATAATTAAATAAAGATCATTACTTATAGTTTAATAAACATGAAATCTCCCTATCAAAAATTTATATTTTGTTGGTCATCAAAGTTTATATCAACTAAGCGAGTCGAACTAACAATAATAAATGTAGGACATGTCCGGGTTACTTCTGACTCTTCCGCTAGTCGGACACGGAACGTACGGTAATAGTAAACTGCGGCTATTAAAGAGGTCGCCTGCCGAAGACCACCACTGCCCTGGATGTAATGGACCATCATGATTCATGCCTTCCGGAACGTAGCCTTCAACACTTCAAGCCGTCCGTATCTAGGCCTTGGGTCGAATCAGCCGTCGGTCGAACGGCCTCTTGTCGAAGGACGAAAAATTTTGGAACAGAACTATGCTATCTGAAACCTAACCTCAGATGCGGTGAACGTAAAATTACGTAATTTAACGATGCCCGGATGTCAGATTCGATCCGCGGCCTGGTGGTGCACGGCAGGTTCTATGCGAGGCCGGAGTAGACAAAGCCGAGGGGTTCACAGCTAATTGGTGGATGTCCGGAGAAATCCAAGGCGTTCGATTCAGGGCTTTTTGGTGCACAAAATTGGTGGTGCACGGCTGCGCTCTCCACAATTATACAATGAGGTTTTTGAGGCAATGACTTCATTGTAGCATACAGCAAGTTGAGAAATCATACAGTTACCACCTCTAAAATTAATGAAAAATGTGTGAAAAGTGAGATTTTGGAAAAGTACCTCTGCTTAGGTCTGTAGAAAAAAAATATTTGCAGTATTAAAAAATTTTGCTTACTTAACAGTTGCACACAGGTGTTGGCTTACAAATGTGATTGACTGAATTTTCGAATCTCATTCCAAAAAATGGCAGCCATTTCTGCAAGATGGGGTAATAATGGACACTTCCTTGGGGTAATAAGGGTCACCCCTAAAAACGCATTTACAGTATAGAACCTCAGTTAGCAAAGGTTCCCGAATGAAAAAATTAATTAACAAAAAAAATTTTGATTACATTTACCTTGCTCAGCGAAAAGATTTCACTCAATGAATAATTAATGCATCATCGGTCATCACAAAATTGTGCATAGAATGCCAGATAGAATTGTACACCGGGCAACATATAAAGAGAAGTAATTAACCGAAACTATGATTTATTTTTCCAATAAATATGATAGTTGTCACTAAAATATTCCTTTCTGTTTCAGGAATGTTTTTTACAATCTTTTTCTGTTATAGAGAATTCACTTGACCCAATTAAATTGGTGTCAATGCTCAATGGCATGTCCATGGATACGGTAATATCACATCAATAAAGTAGGTAAATCATATCAAATATCCATTTGAGTTTTTTTAGATAATAATATAATTTGATATCTGATTTCCATTTGTAATTGATGTTATTTGAACCATTTATAATTGACTAATATTAGCAGTGGATTTATATGCAATTGTGATGTCGACGTAGACAACGGTAATAAATTGAGTTCTGAATGTGCAGGATTTCTACCTTTGGAAAGGGGACAATAAACGATTAAAGGAAGATCGTTTTTTTTTCATTCCTATCGTTTTCGATCCCTGGTTAGGCGACTCAACTGCAGTTATATTACTCTGTATCCGTTGCAAGAGGTTCTAACCCACAGAGCTACACCTCTACTGCACTGCTGCTCTTCATTTAAGTTATGAAAACAGTCAAAACCTGGCAACTGAAATTCAACAGATACAATTTTCCCCCTGTAATTTTTATGGAGTGTTTCTGTAATACCAATAATGTCTATGCATTCGTTTGCGATCACAGTTAATAGTTCACTTTTTTGTTCAAAGCGGAATCCGAGTTCGTGTAAAAACATTTTAAAACTTTTTGTGCTCCTTCACTTTGATGCACGCGTTCACTCCTTACATTATTTACAGGCCTGGATCTATGGACCAGGCCTATAGTCTGAAACAATTCATTATTTTAATTACACATTAACTAGTATGTATCGTTATAAAATATGAAAATTCCTGTAAATTTTAAAACCTCTATTTTAACCGGGACGTTTCTATTGTCCGAGACGACGCTGCTAACCGGGACTAACCCTGTCGTCTCGTCTCAAATGATAAAAAGTATCAAACGCAGAAGTCTAGCTGAAGCTGCTTTCTGACCACTTAGTTACAGAAAAGCGGTAAAAGAGTATGACGCTTATCCACAATAAAATTTTTTAGCGCCCACGGTTAGTAGAGTGTCACGTAAATTATTGCGGCAAAATTTCGCAGAAACTGGCGAATAGATGCAGCCCGCCAGTTTATCATAGTCGCCGACTTCGCGGGCACTATTGTTCTACGCCACTTACTCCGTCACTTTCGACATGCCAGAGGTCAATCCTAGGCCCGCTCCTTTGTTACATTTTTTTAAAGGCCTCCCACACTCACCATTCCAACAAAAAGGGAATTAATTTTATTAATTAAAAACAGGAAATGGTTTCATGTCAATGATCAGGGCCCCGACCTTAACGCCTCTGATAGTGGCCTACATATGCACCGACTCCGAGGGTCACTGAGCTGTGACGCGAGCGAGGAGCGGGTCCACGTCGAACTTCTCTGACTGCTGTTAGGATGCTAGCTGCATTGCCTCTCTGCACAGCCAAACCCAACCTTTGCTCCAACCATAGAGTCTCTCTACGTTCGCCGGACAATTCCGTAATGCGACGGCCAATCTGTGATATTAAAGGACCAGTCGTTTCACCATACAGTGGGGGGAAATAAATATTCGTACACTTGAAAAATCGTATTTTAATGTATGTAAGTACACAAACTTAACAGGAAAAGTTATTTAAATTATGTATAGAGACGCATAGTATTCAAAAATACTATCAAAAGAAATTATTTATTTCCCCCCACTGTATGTGCCCGTCGTTTCTAATGCAACTGGCTCGAAACGATACCGAGCTGCCAACGCCGCGTATTTACGTCTCTTGCTATCCTCCGCCGCACGAGCCGAGAAACCCAGCAGAAATAGCCGAATTATTGACGTGCGACTCAGCAAAAGCGTCGACGCAGGTTGCATCCCAGCACAAACACCTCCCATTAGAAAATGGGAAAACCGTTAAAAGCCGCGCTGCGGAGGCCGCGGCCACAGGCCCATCCCAAGTCCTCTGCCGGCCCAAACACATACTGTCGACGTGTTGCACATTACGATTCACGGTTTCAATCCACATGTTTGCAGACGACACCCAAATTTTGTGCTACTGTTCGTCGATGCACGCTGCATGGACACCGCCTGACTCGATACGTTCCCACCGGCTGCGCTACCTTCATGGTCATGCACCTTCCTATTTTACGCCACAGCGGACCTCATCGTACCACCTACACGCCTGTCCATCATCGGCGACAGATGTTCGGTCGCCGCGGTCAGGACCCGTAACTCTTACAGCATCAGTGACATCAGTGCTCGGCAACTTCTGTGATACGTGTTTCTGGTCGCATTAAGACCGAACTGTTTCGTACAGCTTACGACTGTTGTACACAGCAGGTTTTATTCTTCTTCTGACCATCCTTTTAGACTCGCCTTCAAAAAGCAGAGACAGAACTCACTCTCTTATCTTACTCCCGAAATATAAAACGTGCTAATGAAGTTCTTAGGTAATAATTATATATGCGGCAGGTCAATGCTGGAGGATAAAAAAAGCGTTCAGTTCGTTCACATTGTCGTTGGAATGTTGTGATGGCGAAGACACGTTCAAACGTACGTCACATTAGGGCTCCTGTGAAACACCAATGGTCGCAATGGAAATGTAACCTGTTAGAGGGCCTGACATAATCTATAATATCAATCCAATTATAACATAATTCGTCATAAAACGAACCGGGATCACAACCATTCACAACCACATATACAAACGTTAACCGCATACCATGTGGGCTATTTTGCGCACACATGGCTACCATATCCACCAGCTGCCATACCCTACACATGGCCACCATATCCACCAGCTGCCATAATCTACACATGGCCACCATGTCCACCAGCTGCCATAATCTACAC